TCAGGAGGCACACTGCATGCCTCTGACTCAGGTCCTGTCGCTCAGGAAAACTGGGGACAATATGTCAGGTACACACTATTGAAAACTAGATTTCTGGTTGTGCTTGGGAAAGGGGGAAGAAATATTGAAGGTCACTGGTCTGTTCAATAACTTAGAAGGGGAGAAAACCTGAACGTTCCATAAGAGATTTTCGCAAGTTAGATCTGCCTGGTGCAAAGGGAAAAGGTTTGGGGAGCAGGACTCAGCCTGAGCCTTCTGCACGCACTGTGATACCCCAGTGCCGTGGGACACTGCAGACCTGCCAGGACACCTGATGACACAGACACTTCTTGCTTCCTTCCTTGTCTGGCAAATGACCGTCTTGTCTCCTCTCCAGGTGCGCTTCCTAGAGCAGCAGAACAAGGTCCTGGACACCAAGTGGACCCTGCTCCAGGAGCAGGGCACCAAGACCGTGAGGCAGAACCTGGAGCCTTTGTTCGAGCAGTACATCAGCACCCTCAGGAGGCAGCTGGACAGCATCCTCGGGGACAAAGGCCGCCTGGACTCAGAGCTCAGAGGCATGCAGGACCTGGTGGAGGACTTCAAGAACAAGTGAGTCAAATGGGGAAAAGGGACTCAGCATTCTGAAGCACACACTTCAAGGCTATTGGGTTGAGGTCCCGATGTGGGCAGGATTCCTGGCATGCATGTCCATGTATGTGAAACTCACACAGTATTGCCTAGCAAGAAACCTGCAAGTAGAGAGGAGGGCTGGGGAACACCTGGGGAGATTAGAGGAGTGAAACATTTAGTAGCAACAAAACTTGGCCTTTAGGCTCTGTGTGGCATGAAAGAAGAATCAGGACGTACTGCACATGCGGACAGTGTGGGGTCACAGGCTGCTTTTCAGTTTCGTGCTACCACTGGCTCAATGGAGTCTCTTACCTTCCTCCCTGCAGATATGAAGATGAAATCAACAAGCGCACAGCAGCAGAGAATGAATTTGTGACTCTGAAGAAGGTGAGCAGATTCAGCCAGGGCTTCAGGCTCTTTGCTAAGGGAGACAAAGGACTCCGTGCCTCTGCTCGCCTGTGAGAGGAGGATGGGCAGGGAGCACAACCCATGGGCAGATGGGGCAGGGGCTCAGCTCACTGCACGTTGTCGGCTCTTTCCCCAGGACGTGGATGCTGCCTACATGAATAAGGTTGAACTGCAAGCCAGGGTGGACAGCCTTACAGACGAGATCAATTTCCTGAGAGCCTTCTACGACGCAGTAAGTATCTCCACTCTCCTCTTATTTGCTCTGATGGGGGTCTGCAAAGGAGGAGGACCCATCAGCATGCATAGTGGTTTTAACGGCGCAGGGGTAAATGGTCTCACACACTTGTGTTCTGCAGGAGCTGTCTCAGATGCAAACCCACATCTCAGACACATCCGTGGTCCTGTCCATGGACAACAACCGTAACCTGGACCTGGACAGCATCATCGCTGAAGTCAAAGCCCAATATGAGGAGATTGCTCAGAGGAGCCGGGCTGAGGCTGAGTCCTGGTACCAGACCAAGGTGAGCGGGGAGGTGGCAGCTGCCAGGAAATCTCTGTGTCCCACCCTGTGTACCAGAAGGCTAGAAGAGACTTCACTGGGGAAATCTACTGAAAGGAATCTAGCATCCTCTCACATTCATGTACACTGCACTGTCAGAGTAGATATTATAGCAATTATGCCTAATCTTAGAAGAAAAACGAGGATGATGCTAATGTTGATAAGCATTAGGAATCTCTGCTTGTAGCTTCCTTGTCAATGCTGACTCTTAGACCTGTAGTACAGGGCACTGCCTTTCCCTAAGGGATGAGGCACTCAGTGGTCCCATAATGAGGATGATCTTGATTTGGTTTCATAAGTTTTATCTATCTGGTAAAATCAACTTTTCTTAGATACCCTGAGAAGCCATTAGGTTTGAGCTTAACACACGCCTGATTCAGAAGTGGAAGTCATGGTTCACCTGTGTAAACTCATAGCCTCTGTCTCTCTCTCTACCTCTGCTCGGCAGTACGAGGAGCTGCAGGTCACCGCGGGCAGACATGGGGACGACCTGCGCAACACCAAGCAGGAGATTGCTGAGATGAACCGCATGATCCAGAGGCTGAGATCTGAGATCGACCACGTCAAGAAGCAGGTACGGTGTGGGCCAGTGGTGTAGAGAAGCACCACTTCCTTGCAAGACCATCAGCCAGTCATTGACCATCATTGGTGAAGGTCCCCTGGTTCTAAGGGGACAGCAGGGAGAGGAGGACATGTACTTCCCCAGTGGTTAGGACACGTGAATCCTACCTACTGTCTAGTAATAGCATGTGGTCAGAAGCAATCCGAGCTGATCAAAGCTTCAGCAATACAGTCTAGAGCTTCAGTCCCCAATCCCAGGGCCATGGACCAGTACTGGTCACTGGCATGTTAGGGTCAGGCCACAGAGCTCCACACTGCTCCTCTTGGCCCACATCCACCATCTGTGGAGAAATTGTCTTCCATGAAACTTAGGAACTGGGGTTAGGGGTGCACAGGAGGAGGTGAGTACTGGGCAAGCTAGTGCATTTGAAGCTGCTCCCTATCACACTGGCATCACTGGCTGAGCCCCTCCTCCTGCACAATCCCAACCCCTACCCAGCTATCCATGTAAAAATTGTCTTCCATGAACCTGTTCCTTGGTGCCAAGAAGGTTGGGAACCACTGGTCTAGAGGCATTGGAGGGTTTACTTAAGAAGACTGATTGATTTGGGAATTGCAAAGGAACAACTTGGAAGACAAGGACAGGCAAGAAAGCCTGAGGAACACTGTGGCAAATCTGCTCAAGATTCAGGGTGAAAAAGACAGAGGAAAAGGGGCATTAGACAAGCACAGAGTTGCTCAAGTGAGCAAGAGCCTCTGACCGGGAAGATGGCAAGGTCTCAGCAGTCTCAGGTGAAAACTCATCCTCTCACTTAAAGGTGGTTGGAAGTTGTTGTTAGTGGGCGTCCATATGAGATATTCATAAACGATCTGGATCTGACTGTGGGGACAACATTGCAAACAAAACGCAGTTCCATTTCTTCCAATGTCCCTTTGTCTTATGTCCACTGTAGCGTCTGCCATCAGCAACAATCCGCATTCTCATGCAGGTGGTTAATGAAAAGGGGTATCTGTTTTTGCAAAACGAGCCAGACTAGACAAAAACTGCACGATAGAAAAGTAGTAGGATGGAAGGTTAGAGTTCACTCACCCTCCATGTTGGGTTCCAGGCACCTTCCTCGCTGAAGTTCCAGGCGAGTGTGCTCTAAGGCACCGGATCCAAGTTCACTCTTGCTTTCCCTTCCAGTGCGCCAACCTGCAGGCCGCCATTGCGGACGCGGAGCAGCGTGGGGAGATGGCCCTGAAGGACGCCAGGAGCAAGCTGGAAGGGCTGGAGGACGCCCTGCAGAGGGCCAAGCAGGACATGGCCCGCCTGCTGAAGGACTACCAGGAGCTCATGAACGTGAAGCTGGCCCTGGACATGGAGATCGCCACCTACCGCAAGCTGCTGGAGGGCGAGGAGTGCAGGTGGGTCCCTGAGCACCTGCTCAAGCACCTGAGCACACCTGGATGTCTGGCACCCGGCACGGCGTAGGGCACAGCAGCCATGGCCATAACTGCTAGTCTTGCAAAACAACTGCAAGAGCAGTTTCCCATGGACTGCTGCTCACACGGAGCTTCCCATGCGGGCCCAGGGAATGGCTCCCCGAGTCTCATCCTGCCTGTGTTCCTCCCTCTAGGCTGAATGGCGAAGGCGTCGGACAAGTCAACATCTGTAAGTACCCTTGCTTGCCTTCGTCCCCGGCCCTGGCACTCTTCTGGGTGGGCTGCGGCCGGCAGAAGGAGCTCACGGTGTCTTCTCGTGTCCTTGTCCCCTCCCCACCACAGCCGTGGTGCAGTCCACCGTCTCTGGCGGCTACGGCGGTGCTGGCGGTGTCGGCAGTGGCCTAGCCCTGGGCGGAGGCAGCGGCTACTCCTACAGCGGTGGTCACAGCCTTGGAGGTGGCTTCAGTTCCAGCAGTGGCAGAGGCCTGGGGGGTGGCCTCAGCTCCGTGGGAGGCAGCAGTTCCTCCATCAAGTACACCACCACCACCACCTCCTCCAGCAAGAAGAGCTACAAGCACTGAAGTCCTGCCGCCAGCTCTCGGTGCCACCAGCCTCAGGCCCCTGTCTGGCTGCAGAGCCCTCTCCTCAGGTGGCTTGTCCTCTCCTGGCCTCCGGTCTCTCCTGCTCTCTGAGTGGGAGCCGAGGCTGCATGCTGAGTGCCCTCCCTTGCCCTCTCTGTCTACACCTGCCCTCCTGAGCTCCCTTTGCTCCATCATAAGGTCAACTCTGGACTAACATCATGATCCATCAGCACTGGAGCGTCACTTAGTTACTACGTTATTCATCTCCTGCCGCCCAAGTTCTATCTCTGAGGCTGAGCATTAGAACAAAACTATCTCTGGCCCTTTCCATCCCAGAAAATGCTGCCTGGGGCTTGTTCTAGAATAAGGGAACTTCCATTTCATTTCTACTGGTCCCACCTCCCCCACCTTATAAGCGGTGTGACCCTCCCTGGCAGCTGCCATGAAGGCACGAGTGACCAGTCCTGTGATGTACAGAGTCTGTACCTCTGTGGTGTTTTCTCTGCTCTTTGCTCTCTGTAATTACTAAATAAAGCAGATTTATAATATATTGAGTGATGTTGTCTTGCTTTGGGGCCAACGGCTGTCAAACGTTTTCATCTGATAAATGACTTTTCATTTTTAAATGATAATACATTCGCTGTATACATAACTGCTCTCCTCTAGAGAAATTGAACAACTGCTGTTTGGCCTCTTGACATTCAGCGTGTCTTTCCAGTTCAAAATCCATCTACCTTTTTGGCAAGTCGAGAGGGAGGTATCTGGTCCATGGTCACTGTACACTCTTGAGTGTCCTTGCATGGAACCACTGATACAGTTCCTCTGAGCTGGTTTCTGAGCCCTTTTCTCCCCCTATGCCAGTACTCATCCAAAATGCCCAGGTGAGAAATATATTCCTGGCTAGTTAGAGCAAGAAACATTTGACAAGAGAATCTTATTTTTCATTATTAATAGTAAGTAGAATTGGCTTCATGACTTAGAAACTTGCCTGACAACATTTGTTAAGAGTGATTAAAGTGCGTATACTACTGAACTAGAATTATAGTTCTAGATTTGCTCCCTGAAGACATAGTACAATGTAGAAGGTGTTAGCATATGTACAACTGGGAACCATTCTGCATAACAGGGAAATATTGGAGACACTCAAACTGGTCAAGGTATTCCTTGAAGTGTAAAGACAATAGAAGAAGAAAATCCCTTTTTTTCACACTGTAAGCCTCTCATACAGATTCAAAGAAACCAAGTCTTTGTCACTCAGAAGACAGGGTCCCCTCCCTCTCTCAGGTGTGAATTCTCTCGGTTTAACGTCCATGGATGGATGAGGAAAAACCCAGGAGAAGGGTTGGGGTTGGTCACTTCACTTGCACCGTCCTAGAGCCACTTCAGTCCTGTTGTCTCCACGAGTGCTCATTATCTTCCTAACTCTCAGATTCTCATGTCACTGAAGACATTTTCTTGGATTGTATGGTGGTGGTTTTTTTTTTTTGTTTGTTTTTTGAGACAGAGTCCCGCTTTGTTGCCCAGGCTAGAGTGAGTGCCGTGGCATCAGCCTAGCTCACAGCAACCTCAAACTCCTGGGCTCAAACGATCCTACTGCCTCAGCCTCCCGAGTAGCTGGGACTACAGGCATGTGCCACCATGCCCAGCTAATTTTTTCTATATGTATTAGTTGGCCAATTAATTTCTTTCTATATAGTAGAGATGAGGTCTCACTTTTGCTCAGGCTGGTTTTGAACTCCTGACCTCGAGCAATCCGCCCGCCTCGGCCTCCCAGAGTGCTAGGATTACAGGCGTGAGCCACCACGCCCGGCTGTACGGTGTTTCTAGATCCTACTCTGTCAGTATGGAGCCCCTCTGACTGTTCCCCCAGCATCATGGGAACCCCTCACTTTCTGCCCAGAACTTTCCTGATGGCAGACAGGTAAAGACTGACTTCTGAAATCCATGAACACTTCCCACAGGACCCATGAGAAATAATGAAAGAGAATATAATTGACAAGAAAAATTATCTAGGATATAGCAATACACAAAAAGGAGTTTTAAATAGTTTATCTCTCATATGTATTTAAATAACTTTAAATCTTATGGCGTATGTATATTATAAATATAATAAAGGAATACTAGCAACAATTGTCAAACATTAGAAACTTAGTTTGATAAGAATTGGTATTAATTATTCTTTAAAGGTTTGGTAGAATTTAGTGGTGAAGTCATCTGTCTTGGATTTTCTTTGTTAGAGGCTTTCCATTGTTATTCAATCTCATTACTTGGACTGGTCTGTTCAGATTTTCTATTTCTTTGTTTAATTTTAGTAGGTTGTATGAGTCTAGGAATCTATCCATTTCCTCTAGGTTTCTTTTTCAATTTTTGCACATATTTGATCATAGTAGTCTCTACTGATTCTTTGTATTTCTTTTGATATCCATTATGATGTCCTTTTTTAAGTTATTTCAGCATATTATGGGGTACAAATGTTTAGGTTACATACTTT